TTTTTTTCTGAAAATATCAGTAGTGGTAGTTAAATATGTGTGATGACTGTTAAATTCATTGACCATCTAGGATTAAGAATTCTTGTGTGATATATGTTTTTTTGGACCAATTGTATGGTTGGGATAGACAGAGACAAGCTTTCAAGTATCACAGTATTGTTTCTTGAACCTCGTATTTCCTGGACTTCATGAACCATTTCAGCAACAACATCACTTCTACACTACCATGATCATTTAGGCTATTTTTGGAGTCTTCTGTTCTAAGTCTGTTAATGTGCTTGTGGCCAAGTTCAAGAAAGTCTGATATGTGTTGCCCATGAGGTCATAGTATATCAAGCATCACAGTATGTTCTCTAAGTTTATCATGGGAGAAAATAGCTCTCTTAGCAATTGAAAGGCCAGTTATGTTAAAGGATGTTACTTGAGGAAGAATATGCAATGGGCAATTCTGTTTGAGTTCTAGCATTATGAATATAACAGTTATCCTGGGGACATAATGCCATATATGTAAAAAAAAATTCCTTGGCTTAGTCAGGAAATGCACCCTTTATTTTTAAATATTGTTTAGATTTGATTTAAAATTCTAATCTCTGTTCCCAGGTTTCTTATTTGGGGATTTAAAAAAAATAATGTATGTATTAAGGAAGACTTCTCCTCTACTAATGAAAAGAATGAAAGGATACTTTCCAGCCAGCCAGCCTGTTTTAAGAATAAGCAAAAGCACCGTGACAGGATCTCAAATTCAGTTTGTTATATATTTTCTTCTGTCTCTCCACAGAACTGCTGGAAACCTATTCATTTAAGGTAAATTTTTGACAGCAATTAAGCTTTGTAGTTTTCACAGTAGGTCAGCACAAAGCAATTTAACTTCCTGTAAATATGATAAACTGGGAATAATTACACTTTAAATGACCTTTATGTCACACTTCCATCAGTCTGTGATGGAAATTGGCTTTATGAGAATCAGCTGAGCCATTCTGACTTTCACTTGCTGAGAATCTGGCCATGGGTGTGTTCTTTCCTTCTCTAAACCCCTTAAGGTAGTGTATATTTTGTAGGACTGTGCGAAACGGCTATGTCTCATTTCAATTTCGGATTCGGCCATTCCAGAGGACAGTGATTTGTTTCAGTGTTTTGGATCACTGCTCTGTTTTGATTCGGCCAAATCTGTTGTGGCATTTCGACGATGTTTCAGGGATTCGAATCAACCAGGGAGAGGTAGGCACAGCCGGGCAGCTGCAGGTTCTCCCATGGCTCCTCCGGCTGTGCCTGTCTCTCCCCGGGTGTGGGGATCTGCAGGAGAAGCCCCCATGGCTTCCCTGCCCGGCCCCATCCCCTGCCCAACCAGCCCTAGCCTAGTCTCAGCACTTTAAAAAACAAACAAAAAGCCCTGCACTCACCGGTTGCAGGAGTGGCAATTGGGGCCTCTGAGGGCTCGTGGCAGAGCCCCCTCACGCAGCATGGGGCAGTGGGGACTGCCCCCGCCTGGCACCTGTGCAGCAGCTGTCCCATGCAACGTGGCTCAGCAGGGAACTGCGCTCTGTCTGGAAGTTGGGGCCACTGGGGCTTTGGCTGACTGCTGGAGCTGCCCCAGCTCCCAGACAGCACATAGTGCCCTGCTGAGCCACACTGCACCCGCTTCATGGGGCAGGTGCCATTCAGGTTCCAAATGGGGGGCCCATCCCTGCTGCCCCCCACTGTCCTGCACTGTGTTGGGGGGATTTGCCACAAGCACCCAGAGGCTCCAATCACCACTCCTGCCACTGGTGAGTGCAGGGCTTTTATATATTTATTTATTTATTTATTTTCAAGTGCCAGGATGCTTGGGCTGAGTGGGATGGCCCTCAGGGATGGGGCTGGGTGTGGGGGGGGGCAGCAATTGAGGAGCAGGGGCTGCATGGGGAGGCTCTGCCAGGAGGCCCCAGAGCCCCCACAGCCCATGCTACAGCCAGTGAGTGCAGGGCTTTTTCTTTTTCCTAAGTGCTGGGAGGCTGGGCTGGGCAAGGGATGGGGCTGGGAAGGGCAGCCACGGGGGCTTCTCCCACGCGTCCCCCAGCTGTGCTCAGCTCAGGCTGCACTGAGCAGACTCAGGTGCTGGCTCTGGCCTCAGCCAGCAGTGGTACCATGCTGTCATCCTGCATACAGATCAGAGGGCCCATGCCCCCGGGAGGCTGCAGGGCTGTGCCAAACTCCTGGAGTGCGCAGGCCCCCGGATCTGTGTGCGGGATGACAGCAGGCTGCCATCCCTCCCCCAGAGCACTGGGATTGGAAGGGACCTCAGAGACAGCTTGCACACACTGGCCAGCTACAGATGTCAATATCAAAGCAGTCCTTCTGCCTCTCTTCCCCCTCCCTCTTCTTAGTTTCTGTTTCCCTGCAAGCCCTGCTCAAAAACATCTGAAATATTACTGAAACATTTCAGATGGTTTCGTTTTGTTTCGGAGATGTTTTGGAGCCTTCCATTTAGTTTCAAGTTCAGTGTTTTGGGTGCTAAAATGGGCCAAAGCACCTCTAAAACGAAGTGGCTGGTGAAGTTTCGCACAGCCCTAATATTCTGCATATGAAGTATCATGCTTGTTAAACTTAAATTTAAACATATTCTTCATGCATTAGATTTTCTCTATTTCCTTGTTTCTTCTGGTGTGACTTTTTAAAGATCATTGCATTCTATTTAGGGGAAACCTGATTCTAATCTATTCTGGGTGCTGGTGGGCTGAGTTCTTTATTAATCATAGTGTATTTTGGATAGTGACATCCCACTATTATTAATGGTGACTGAAGTACTACTGCTAGTACACAGCTGAGGAAGCAGAGTGGATATTTCTGTGTGTCAGCTCATCTCCAAGTGTTTATTCACCTTCTCTGTCTTAACAAGCCTCTTCCAAACACATGAGGCATTTGTATACATGCTCTGGGATTGGTGGGAAAGGGGCAGGTGCTTTAATTAGACCACCTCTGAGAACTTTAGATGATTAGAGCATTGAACAAGTTTTAGATAAAGTGCCCCTGCTGCCATTTTGAAGTGCAGGGACACTGATGCATGAAATGTGGAAGGCTGCTGGACCATGGTAATTGGAAACGATCTTTGAAAACAATGTAATGGAGCAAATAGAAAAGAGCTGGGCTGCCAGCCAACTGACCCTACTCTTCTGGAGCTATGCTTCAGTAGACTCGATTAATCGAGTCTGCTCTGACACACTAGAATTACAGCACATCAGAGCTGCCTCTCTGCTCATGTATACACACCCATAGATACAAAACCAGGATTTCCTGGAGGGAGAGCATTATTTTTCCATAATGCATTTCACCCATAGGGTTTTTGGAGTGAGTTTAACCTGGAACCTAGAAGTTGCTCCATATACTAAATGCTGATAGGTTTTCTTATTATGCTAATGCTCTAGTAATTTGGGGGGTGGGGGTGGAGAACACAGCACTTTGCTAGCCTTGGTTGTGGATCATATGGATGTGTTGGGAATTACACATGAACCAAATATCATTTTTGGAATAATGCTAACAAAATAGCCTAACATTTCAAACTTTTTCTTGCAACATTTTTATTTGTAAGCTAAATATTACAGTAATTATGGTAGAAAATTAAGGGAATAGTCCTTGCTTTTAGTGGAAATTAACATTGGTTTTCTCCAGGCATTCAATCACTTAACTCAGTTGTCTTTTTATATTATTCAAATGTGATACACATTAGTCAAACATAAGTGGTTGAAGAATCATATTGCAGAATGCCTCTTGAGAGTGAAGTATGTTATAAACAGTTCTACTAATGGAATATTTATGTTAATGTAAATGAACTCCATAAGAGGGTGTCACATCCTTTGAAAGGTGAGCAATGTGGTTCCTACTGCCCTTGGGGTGCTTGTATTGTTTAGTTACTTATTGAGCTCCAGGAGCGTGATCTGGACTGTACAGATTTCTGCCCCAGATTCAACGAGCTTAAAATCTAGTTCTGTGGCTCTTGAGAAACCAGGTATATCACACACTGAGAACATGGTGTGAATGGAAGGAGCAATGCAGACATACATGGCAGTCAGAATGGAAAGGAAATGTTGCTAAGGTAACATATCAGACTATAAGTACGTATGGGCCCAGCTACTGCAAGAGTCGTTACTAGGAAGGTGTGGATAGACAGAAATTTATACCATTTCAATAGGGTAGAACTTGCTGCTCGTAAAAATGGCAGCCGATCTGTTGCAACTGTTCCATCTGTCCATTTCCATCCCACTGTAAACGAAGCTAAACCATGGTAACTAAACCCTGTTGCATTCAGAAGTAAGTTGTCTGGGTTTAAATTCCATTTTCCATGGGTTAGAGTGGACAGGCAAAGAGAAAGAAAGCAGATTCAGCTGAATCATGAGATTCTTCCTCCCAACCTCCTGCCTCACACTTCAAATAGCATAATTATTTATCTCTCCACATCCTGAGAGAAATACAAGGGGGAAAGGTATTGTTAGCAGCCAGAAGATATAATTAGATTGGAAAAAAAATATTTTAGGGATGGGTTTTTAATGGCTGGGTAGAGGATGTCAGGCATAAGACCCTAAAAGTGGGTACTAATAACACTATCACCATCACTGGCAGTCTCATTTTGTGTTCTTTTTTAAAGTGAAACTAGGGGGATTTGTTTGGGTAAAGGATACCTCGGCCACGGATGGAAACATTGGTCGGGGGTGGCGGCAGAGATTGCATGTTGCCATCCTAAGTAATGTTTTCTTTAATTACCAATGGATGGCTAAAATTGAGATTCAATCAGGTAGGAAGCCTGAAACAGTTGTTGCTACTGTTGTACATTGTAATAGTTGAAGTTTGTGAAGTACTTGTGTTGGAGACTGAGAGAAGTTTAAAGGGTTTATAAGTTACAAGGGGGAGGGGAGTTCTGTTTGTTTATTCATTTCAATTTTTGTGAGTACCTGAAACTCCCAGTAACAAGCAAGAGAAAAATATGCAATTTATAATGTGATCTTTGCTGTTCCAGGAAATTAACATACCTGGGCTATGACGGATCAAAGGCAAGAGGTTACCAGAGTCTTGTAGAAAGTGTTACCAGCAGTTCACTCTCCAGGGATGCTGCAGCTTTGGGCTCCATTGCTGAGGGCAGCTGTACTGCAATCCTCTCATCTGATCACACTCTCTCTAGTTCAGTGGTTCTCAACTGGGTGACATGAAATCCTTTTGAAGGTGCCATGGGATACAAGAAGATAAACACTCAGGCTAGCGGCAGAAATTACACATAAACTGGTAAAAGGAAACCGGTTTCAAATCTGTAACACAACAGAAAATCAGTGCACATGATCTGCTTTCAAAATGGCTGAAACAGGTTTAAGATACACCTGGATGGATATAGTAACAGACTTAACTGATTTAGGCTAAATAAATTTATTGCACTTCTGGCCCAGATCCCCTCAAGATTAAAGTTAACTCATAGTCCCTCAGCATCCCAGAATGCTTTGCATCTCCCCCCACTAGGTAGGCAGGATAGCCTTGGCCCAAGCCATCTGCTCCAGCCAAGCAGGGAGATGTGCTCTAGCGCCCCCTGACTTTTGGCCTGGGCCACTGCAGGAATGTGGCTGCATTTCCGGAATCAAAAGTGAATGTCTGCTCATCGGTTCAATCTATGCAATTTAGACTAACCTGCAAAGATTGAATCAATTCAGCCTTGGGCTTTTTGACTGTCTGTACTTAGCCTCACTCTTCCTCATGTGACCCCTATACAAGGAGGTAAGTGCAGGCCTATCTCTGGATCACCTCATGCTTGTCCCTGCCGGCACCTGCATTAGGAGCAAAATGCTCACTCCTTGCTCTTCCCTCCGGCCCTTGTGTGAGGAGATAAGCACAGGTTCATCCATACCAACTCCAGTGCAAGGAGGTAAGGTCATGATCGCTTCCCCCTCGCCCCCAAACTGCTCTGTGAGGAGCTAAGTGTTTACTTCACCCCTCTCTCTACACCTGTGCCATAAGTGCTGCAATAAATATATTCATTATTGAAATAGGATACAGTTCAATTCACAGGTGTTATGATGGGGTGCTGGGAGCCTAAAACAGTTGAGAGCCACTGCTTTAGTTTCAAATGTCCATCTTAAATCCCACTGTGGGTGAAGCTTTTGTTGTGTGCTGTACCTCTTTGGAAATGATGAAATGGAGCAAATAGAAAAGAGTTGAGCTGCCAGCCAAGTGACCCTACTCTGTGGGGCATCTCCAGTTGCACAAAGACCTTTTTGCAAATATTAGAGAATGAAGCTGGTATAACTCAATTACATTTAGAGAGAGGCAAAATCCACATGTAGTAGTGCCAGTACTCCGAATAAAATGAGGATTTACTTAACTGCTTCTTTTATGCTCTTTATAACATTCATAGTCTTTAGTTTTTGAAATGTACCACTGTATGACAGAAATGGTTTCCATTACAGTAGACCTTATTTCAAACATAAGTAATTGATTCAGGAATAGCATAGATCTGCTTTAGTTGTTTAGCTCCTATCTACACATTTCAGTAAAGTGTCAAGATTTTCAGTAGTACTCAAAACCATGTGTCATTTTCATTTTCAGCAATGGAAGACACTGATCAGTTTTGAAAACCTGGCCCTTAAAATGAAAATTTCAAAGAGTGTCTTGTCTTCAGGTATGCCATGATGTTTGATATTTTCCGTATTTATTCTCCACTATTTATTCATTACTTTATTTTCACTGGTAATTTTCTCCTTATTTAAAAAAGCCAGTCGTTCTAAAATGCTGTTTGTTGTGTAGTTTTGAGGCTGTGGTCAAATTGCTCATACAGAATATCAGTCTCTACACTTCCCTAATGCAGTTTTGATTTTCATGACTTGCATTTAAAAATCCAAGTTGTCCTAATTATGCACAAAAATGTGTGCATATAGTTTGTACTTGCAAGTACCATGATGATTTGTGCAAATATGATAATGGAATGTGCAAATAGTCAGTTGAAAATCTGTGTAGTCATTTGTATATTCAGTTACTGTGAACTTATGATGAATCACAGGAATTGCACATGCAAATGATGCACTGGTATTTTTGCACTTAAAAATCCACGTGCTGTAATGACAACTCGTTCCTTGAGGTAGGATTGATAGTTCTATGTGGACCTTTTCTTTCAAAGAAATACAGTTTATTTTTCATCAGTACAAGGATGGGCCAATGTTCCTTAGTATACCTACATTTTCCACCTTTTATGTATTAAACTTACCCAGGTGTTTTTATCTCTTGAAATGTATGCATGCTTTTTGGGTGCTGTGGGAATTTTCTTGGTCCAGTTCTTGGATAAATGTAAACACCATAAAAACCAACTATCCCAAGTGACAGTAACTGGACCAGTTGACTGGTAATGGGAGACATGGTCTTTCACCTGAGTCGCTCATGTTCAGCTTTTTATTCTTGCTATCATTTTTCATCTTGCCCTAAAACACTTTTCTCTCCTTTCCCTTAAGTGATGGCATCTTCATCCCTGTTTGTTTGTGCTTTCAGTGGCTAAACACCAACTTCAGCCAAGAACGTCCATATTCCTTCCTGCTAAATGCTAACTTTCTCTGAGCAGTCATATAACATCTTGGTGTTATCTCCGTCCTTCCTCCCTTTGTCCAGTCAAATTTAAGCTCAATTGGAATACTCCTCTGGGTAGGCATCATGTCTCTTTGGCTCAGTACAAACATTCAAAAAGCCCAAGGCAGAGTAAATCTAAGTTACGTAGTTTTCGTTAAGCAGCATAGGTTAGATCAGTAGTGAATAGAACACAGTTATTGTGAGACTGGTGGAGATGTGTTAGCACACCATTAGTTATGACATACTATCCTCCCCTGGAAACTATATGGAAGACCCTCAAACAATTGCAACCTATACTAGAAGAAGACCCAACTCTTAGAGATCTTTCTAGAACCACCTGTCCCTGGACAAACTTTTAGTATTGGCCCCCCTTCTCCAGGGATAATGGTAATAATAATTAAAAATTACCATTTTTGGGCTCCCTTTCTGTTCAGGCCCCAAGCGGCCACCCAGTTCACACATGCCTGTGTCTGGTCCTGCTACATCCCACAACAGAACCATCACTGTTCCTTACACCTGCGCTTCCAGAAATGTAATATATTTCATCCAGTGCACCAAATGTCCTGATGGAGAATATGTAGGAAAAAACAAACAATAATTGCATACTGGAATGGACGCACACTGAAAATCCATCAAAGACAAATATATCCAATTATCTGTGGGTGCACACTTCTCACAAGACAGTCACTCCCTCTTTGATCTCTCAGTTCTAATCCTCAAAGGGAATTTACAGAACACCTTTTGTACATGAGCCTATGAACTTCACTTCATAAATGTACTGGTTACAAAAAATCATGGACTTAACATAGACACTGGATTTATGACCCATTGTAACCTGCCTGACATAATTCACCAGGTAACCTGCCTGAAGCTGACCACTTACATTTCTTCACACATCTCCCTCCCTTCCCCACTCCTTCCCTCCTATCTCTACCCATTGTCTTCCAAACTTCCACTCATTTACATTTTCACAGACTTTGTTAAACTTTAGTTCTTTTCTACCTTGGAGAACCCTTAACAGCAGCAGTCTCCAATTCCTGAAGAAGGGTGTTTGTGCCCAAAAGCTTGCAAAGAACTTTTTCCCAACTATTTTAGTTGATCTAATAAAAGATATGACATTTACCCAAAGGCCCTTGCCTGCCAATGTCCTTAGACCAATACGGCTATAACCAACAACCCTGCATGTCTTAAGCTGGCCTTTATTTCAGCTGTGAGATTCCAGGCACCCTCTTGTGTGCTGTTATGATTATAATGAATTATAATAACAAATGTAGGTTGGTACTAGTAGCGATTAGCAGTCATTATGATTTGGGGGCTATTCATTGTCCTATGTGAAATGCATCAGTGGTTGGGAAATGAGTCAGTGGTCTCACTATGGTTCCTATGAGATTAGTGCTCAGATAATAAGCCCTGTTAACACAGCAATCAAAGTGAAGGCAGGCAATGAGCTGTGACCTCTGCTTTTCAGATAAATTCTCTTTTATTGTTACCTTCTTCTCCCACCCTATTCCCAACTCATTTGTCTGTTTTGTCCACCTGTTGTGTCCTATCTGACATGCAGACTATGAGCTTTCTGGGTCAGGGGCTGTTTTTTGTTGTTTGTCTGTACTGTACTGAGCACAATGGGGTCCTAATCCCCTCCTTGATTGCTAGGCGCTATCACAACACAAACAAATAATAACAGTATCAGGAAGACCATGGACCAAAGAGGCATGGAGATTGGACTAACCTTTGTCAGAAGTGGTTACCTTAGGGCTGGTGAGTGTCACAGGGGCTGGCTGGGGTACTTTTACTTCCACTCTGCATGTTACCCCTATTCTGTGGCTATATCAAATATTTTTTTCCTTTGGAAAAGCCATCTGGTACCTTTCTCAAGCATTAAACTCACTTTACACAAATTAGAAAGCAAAAGTACAAGCCCCATGGAGTTTGAAGTGCGAACATTTCATATCCTCAGTTGAAAACTGATCTTCCCTTTCCCCTTCTCTACTGCACAGAGAGATTAACAATTGAACTGTAAATACCCCAAGCACAGAAAGTAGTAAACCCCCCTCCCCTCTCCTCCTATAAAGGACATGTATGCTGGCAACAGCCTCATTCAGCTTGACACCTGTTTCACTTTAAAACAGACTCCTATAAATAGATGAGTGAATGCAAACCTCTGTGGCATTGCAAAATATTATGGAAAATACGGCTTACAACCCTGTGAACAAGAAAGACTGGAAAGGAGGGGGCAGAAAGACACTATCTACCATAAAAACCTGGCAGCTTCATGCAAGGGCTGTTGCTTTTAATTTAAATGCTCATTTCTTATTCTATTTTCAGATCCTCTCTGGGATTTTAGGAATGTTGAGACGTGCTGGTTATAAAGCCCTAAGTACAAAATAGTCACGGATGGCTGGAATGAGGCATGTTCTAATGGAAACAAATCACTTGTCAGTAAGCAGCCTTCAAACTTTTGAACAAAAGCTCAAAAGGGTCAGGGAAGAGACAAGTTTGTTGACTTAAAATGGCTGGATGCAGGTCCAGCGAAATGCATAGCCTTCAATACTGTGAGGTACCTATTCAATGCCAAGTTAATCTGGGGTTTTTAAATGAGGTTAAGTGTTCTCATAAGAACAACAAATAGAAAAAGCAACTCCATAAAAATGGAATAAAGTGTATTTACTATTGCTAAATATCTGGGAAAGAGATTTTATTGTATGGATATGAGTGTAAAATTTCATGATTAAGACTATATTATATCTATAGCTTTGGAGGGTTGTCAGTATCTGCAAAACTGTGTGTGTCCATGAGTAAAGGCCATAGGAATTAGTCTTCCAATTAAGTAGCGGGGCTGGTAGACTAGAATCTCAGTGTAAATCGGCTCAGCTATATTGACTTCTTAACCAGCTGACGATATAACAAAATTATGAGATTGCTAGATCAATTTTCAGTAGGCTTTAACTGTTAAAACCCCTTCACAGTGTTATGGCTGAGATTGTTTATACACTCAGAGGACAAATATTCAGGATTATGATTCCCACATCACCTATAATTCAGTCCTCCTTGCTCACAAGAACTGTTTTGTATTGCTGTGCAAACAGCACAGTGCCCTTTTAACATCATAATAGATGTGTGTAATGTGGATAGATTACACTTGCCATGGGGAGCATATTTTTGAATCTCCATGTTATTTTTTTTGCATGTAAAATGACAAAAGAAGAAAGCACAAGCTCATCTGGAATGACCATGAAAAGTCAAATGATGCTTAAAGTGTCTCACATTTCTCTTTAGAGCATTGTGCAGCAATAAGTAAAACTCATAACACTCCTGTGAAGCAGATAAGTAAAAAATTATCCCTATTCTGTAAGTGGAGAAACTGAAACATTGGCTATTTAATTGACTTTCTCAAAGCCAATGATTGAGTCTGCAGCAGTAGGACTATAACAATATTCATAGAATATTTGAGAACATATTTAAGTGCGGTTCCCATAAGCATCTGACCTTTATGCGACTCACCAAAAATGGTCATTTTAACTCTCAGTGTTCTTCCGGGAGCCCCTGAACATCCGTTTCTCCTCCAACCCTATTCTTAAAGCCCATCATCGCTCTTCAGTGCCTTTGTCCATGTTTGATAGTGGCTGCCAAAAGAAAGCATTCCATGTTCTTCTTCTGTCTTCAGCATACTTTGTTGCAGGGCCTGCCACTGGAGATGCAGCTCAGAGAGGCAAACAGTTTCCAGTAAGCTACCAGTTGTTTTTTCCTCACACCAGAAGTAAGAGGAAGTTCTTTCAATTGGACAGAAACAGGAGGTCTCTAGATCTTGAACAGCTCCCAGATCCAGCTTAAACAGCTCCCAGTACCTGACCTAGCTCACTTAAAGTTCCCCATACTATAGTGCAGTTTGTAGTGAAAGCATAGGTACCAATATGGCCAGAGCAGAGCCAAGCAGAGCCTGTAGGGGATGGGGGCAGGTGCAGGCTGCCCTTGTTGCAGGTTCAGGGCTCCCTGCTCCTTTGCCCTCCCTGTGGGAGCCCTGCACTAGCTTCACCACCATGGCAAGGTGCCTGCTGCCTGTCTGCCAGCAGCAGAGGGCACAACTCTGCATCACTGCTGCTGCTAGGAGGGTAGAAGGCACCTTGCCTGGTGGCACAGGGCTCCCAAGGGGAGGGCAGCAGGGCAGGGAGCCCCAAGGCCTCAACGGGTAGCCTGCATCCCCCCCACCCCATGCACAGATATGGAGGGCACATGCCCCTCATGCTGCCTCCAGGGACCCACCCCCTGGATGAGTCTCCCATGGCTGTGTCCTGCCTCTGGCTTCAGGCCTCATGCACCACCCTGACTGGGCATTATGCCCAGGCCCAGCCCCTGCCCAACTTCCTCCCTCGCCATGGGAACCTCAATTTGCCCTCCCCCTCCCCCCAATAGCCGAACCTCCAGGCAGATGGCAGAGCTGCTCTCCGCTACTCCCTGGGGCCGTATCCCTGGCCACATGCAAGAGTGCACACATGCATGTGGCAACCGTTGCATCCCGCTCCCTGCAGCCCCCTTGCAGGATGGAACTGTGCCAGCCTGCAAGAGGAAATCCTCCATTTCCCACATTTTTCCATGGTGAAAGGAAAACCCAGATCCCTGCACAATACTGAGAATCCAGGACAAATGCTGTCCCAGAGTCATTCAGCCTAGGACTGGGACTTGATGTTCCCATTTTAGGACTGAACCACCCAATTAGGGATGGGTGGTCACTGTACCCTCTTCCTGAGGGGGGCCAGGGCCCTTGGGTCCCCACATACTCAGTACCTATGAGTAGAAGTGGAGCACTTAATTTAGCAACCTTCCCCCGGGAATGGCATTCACTGCTTTCTGAGGTGACTGATGCTTCTTGACTTGTTCATCCTCTGAAGGCTAATCAGAAATAAGGGGATAGGCAGTCCATAGAGTTGTCCTCTTTGTCATAGAGCCACCTGGCTGTGAGGGCTTTTCCTCACTGTTAGGGTACATTTAAAACTAAAATATATTTGGAAGGGGGAGTCCTTTTTCACTGTATAGAGTGCTGCTTCACAATACACAGGCACTGGAGGAGAATCCTCCACCAGAGCTACTGTGATAAGATGGGGAGAAGGGGAAAGAGCTCTCTAGTAGGGCTTGTGCGAAGTTTCAGTCCCTGATTCAATTCAGCAGAGATTCGGCCCAATTTGGTGGCCAAATCTCCAAATCCTAATTGAATCAGGAGACCCTTTAATCTCTCTGAATCGAATCAGAGAGATTCAGAAAGATTTGGTGATTGGGCCTTAAACACAGCTTTAAATGTTTTTTCTACATACCTCTAGGTACAGGCGGCTCATGAATGCTGTGATGCTGGGGCAGATGGAGTGTCCCATGGGAGTGCGGGGGGCTCCCCAGTGTGCTTGGCAGCAGACCCGGAAGTGGACCAGAAGCCGAGCATGCAGTGGGCCTCACTGAGCTCCTGTTCGATGCTCCCTCCATCGCAGTGTTCACAAGCCATGCCTGGTACCTCAAGGTATGTAGAAAAAACATTTAAAGCTGTGTCTATGACCAAATTGCTGATTCTCTGAATCGGCATCGAATCTTCAGATTTGGATTCAGCTGAATTGAACTGGGGACAGTGATCCAAATCAACGAATTGAATTGCTGTCCCCAATTTGGGCTGAATCTGAATAGAATATGGCCTGTTTCGCACACCCCTACTCTATGCCCTGATAGCATTGGATGTATTAGTGCAACAGTACTGTGAAATTATGAGCTCCCATACTTACAGCTATGAATTTAAGTCATAACTAATGCTCCAATAAGACAAATTAATTAGTTCTTCCCTGAACAATTAACAGATGTACACGCCAGTGGTTAGTACTTGAACGTAGTGGGGACTGGCACTAGAAAAAAGCTTAATACAATATCCCGTTGATCTATTTAGGACATAGCCATGGATTGCTGCTTATATAACTTTAACATAATGTCCTTTGTGTTGATATTGGGTTTTAGATTTTTATCACATGACAGTTCTGGGGCTCTGCATAAAAATAGAATTGAAGACATTGCCCCAGATGCTGTAGCAACTACTACTTAAGGTGTTTCAGATTGCAGGGTTTTCTGCAGCCAAAATGGGAGACAGTGGTGGGCAAATGAAAAGGAACAGTA